AAGAACCCTAAAGTCTTCATGTAAAAAATTCAAGATATAAAGAGAAACTTTTCATCCAAGATTTCCCAAGTTTTTCCGTTCTAGGAACTTCATAAAAGAGTTTCTTCTCTCAAGATCAAGCCCCAAGATTCCAAGCTCAAAGGTTTCCTCAAAGAAAGCTAATGTTCTTCCTCAAGCTCAAAATAAATTAGGGTTTTCTTCAAAACTTCTTCAAGAACTTTGTTCTTCCAGATATGTAAGGCTATCATAGTGATGGGCTGAGTTCGTCCTCACACCCTACATCTATCTAAATACAGTAAAAGAATAATCTAAAATTTTATCTTGGATTTTGAGTATTCCTGAGATAAGTAGTATCGTTGAGTTCTGAGTTCTTGATTTCTGAGTATTGAGTTTGCTATATTGTTATTGAGATCCTTGAGTTGATTTGTTCATGTCTATATTCAGCATGAACCATATTTTGAGTTATAATTTTTTAGAATCTTTTCAAGCAAACATTTTTGTCTTAAACTGATTTTCTGAGAAAGCAAGATGAGTTTTGGTAAAGAGTTTTAAACATGATTTGAGTAAGAGTATAAGAGAACTAAGTATTTCCAAATGTATCACTTTTTACATTGAGAAAAAAGAAATTTTGATTTCTAAATGAGTTAATGAATTCAGAGATATTTCAGAGTAGTTACCTTTTTTAAGAAGATATTTTGAGCAATTACCTCAAATTGAGAAAGAGTATGTTTTATACATTTGAACATGAGTATATATTTATTGGGAGTAGTATTGAGCACAAATATGGAGATGACTTTGGACAACTCACATTCCTCATGAACCATGTAGCTAACATGGGTAAAAGATTGTACTTTTTAGACGACACCTTATTGCTTTCGAGCAGAGCTTTAGTGGATCCACTTAATTGAGGTGTTCTATATTCCGGCAAGGTATAGGACAGTTCTGCAGTGTGGTCGAGATGTTGTATCATCACGTTGCTCATAGTGATGGTTGTCGGTTAGAGAATCTCCAAAATAGAGTTAAAAGTGTAGTTTATCATATCACTTAATATGTTGAGTTCATAGATGAGTAAGTATTTTGGAAATTTTAAATGATTTCACTCTTTTATTTATTTACATTCAGTTGAGTATATATTTATATCTATCGTAGTCCTTTCAATCAGTTATTTCACTTTAGCTATATTACATACTCGTACATTCAATGTATTGATGTCATTCGACCTCCATCTTTTTATGATGCAGATTCAGGTACTTAAGATCCTCCGATGTTTATGTAGAACTTGAAAAAGATTATAAGTTGGAAAAATTTGAAGATGATCTTCCAATTGAAAAAGTAAAAGCAAAATGTGAACTTGCTAGGTTTAAAAGAGCTTTCAATATTCCTAATGAAATTGGAGAAATGAAGGATCGAGTTATTTATGTTTCAGAAAATAAAATGGGTAAGCTTAAATTCAAGATGCAAACGAAGCAGGAATATATGTCAAAAAGATTTAGTACTTAAGGTTGCATTCAAGACGAGAAGTGAATTTAGTTCACTACAAGCACAAAATGATTCTACAAAATTATTCACAAGGTCACTTTTGATTATCAAGTATGGAGATCCCAAGATACAAGACCAAAATTTTACAATTCCTAAAGCACGGAGAAGAGTTGAATATTTATTTTAGAATTGTAAAATTTTTGTTGCCGTAATTTTATTAAAATAAACCTAGTTAATTAGTTAGCCCTTTTAATTAGGAATTGAATTCTATTTGAATTTTGAATAAATAGTATTTTATAGACTTTAGGAGTTTGATATTTTCAGCAGATTTTTTTGCTTAATTTTAGGTTAAGAAGTTAGTAGTTTTATTCTAAATTGTATTCTTAGATGGAAGTACAAATATATCAATATTTCAACTACAGTTCATAAGTTTTTTTTTTTAAAAAAAATTGTATTTTATTCTTTTCCTATAATTTCTTCTCTTTTAAAACCAACAAAGTAATTAACAAATATCAAATAATTATACAAAATAAAAAAACAAATCACATTAATATATTTATGTGTGGTCTTATTATTTCATTGTATTCTTAAAACATAACTTTCTCGTTGTTGGATCTGATCAAAATTATAAAGCAGTAGTACACCATGATGAAATATTTAGCCACAATTTGACAAGTAATTGCATTAACATTAGCCATTATAATTATGCTTTCTTTTAACTGAGCTGATTTAAGCTACTTTATTCGATTTACACGTGCACGCACATGCTAAAAATAATATTTTCATGTATGATCTTACCTGTTTGTTATATAATTACCAGAGGATAACCTTCTCTTTAATGAACCTGATTGAAATAATATAGTGACACATCATGAAGAAATACATAGTCACAAATTCAAAAATATTCAATTGCATTAATATAAGCTATTATGATTATGTTTTCTCTTAACTAAGTTAATTTTTATATAGAGTTACATTTAATGATAATTTACTTACTAAAACTCATGAAAAGATATTATTGCGAGGAAAGAATAAAAGAGAACGAATTGTAATCGACCCTAAAAGAGGTAAACAAATAAATGCCTACTCGACATAGATCAAAATTAATCAGGCAAATAAAATCAAATAATTAAACAAAATAAAAAATAAATTACATGAATATATTCATGTATATATGCTCTTATTATTTCGTTGTATTGTTAGAGTATAATCTTCTCGTGATGAACCTGATCCAAATTATACAGTAGTGGAACAATATGACAAAATATTTGACCACAAATTCGACAAGTAATTGCATTGCATTAGCCACCACAATTATGTTTTCTTTTAACAGAGTAAATTTAAATTATATGGTTCGATATATATATATATATATATAACAAACATGTCAAAAATTTAATATTTTCATATATGATCTTATCATTTTGTTATATTACTAGAGGATAACCTTCTGTTCGCTGAACCTAATTGAAATGATAAATTAGTGGCATATCATGAAGAAATATTTTGCCAGAAATTTGACATTCAATAGCATTAACATAATCCACTATAATATGATTTTTATACAGAGTTCACTTAATGATAATTTACTTATTAGAACACATGAAAAAATATAATTGTGTGAAAAGATAAAAGAGAACGAATCGTCGTTGGTCCTCAAAGAGGTAAAAAACAAGGAAAAATTGCTTAAATACACAACAGATTTTTATCATATTCTCTTAAATTCTCTATCATTTTAAAAAGAAATCTCTACTCTCTCATATTATCAGATATATCATTTTACGCGATGTATCAGTCATATACATTATTTTATTGGTCGGAGACATCACTTTACGTGATGTATTGGGATGTTGAGTGATGTACTCAAAACCGAGATGTGATGTATCCGACTTCAACCAAATTTAAGGAATTAATAATTTTTTTTTTAAAAATAAGATATAATTAGCTTTTAATACTATAGAATTTGCGTAAAATTCCCAAAAATTAAATGTTTGATAACACTCAACTATACATAATAGCCATGTTAGGTTTCTTTTGAGATTTGACAATTGTGTTAGTTTTTGGTAACAGTACTTTGTTATCATCTAATTTCTCTCTTTCTATAGTTCTTGCCTTCTTGGACAAAGATCTTCACACTCTTTCAAGTTTTTTTTTTTTTTTATATATATTTATAGTAAGTGTATGCATTCTCTTTACTTATATTCTTATAATCTTACTTTTAGTATGATAGCTAAATCCTCAACTAAGATTGTAGAGTTCATAAAGTTATGTGATTGCATATTACTTGATTATAATTTATAAGATATCAAACTTCTTTTTGTTCTTGATTGACTAATTGGTACATATGTCATAATATCTTAATCTTCAAACTCGGAAGAGTGGGTTAGGATTTGGACAAAGAATAGGATTTACTTGGCATAATTAATCAGACTTATTTAAATAACTCATATAGTTGCAGAAGCATCATTTGTAACTAGATCGTTGAAAGTTCAAACTTGAAAAATATTGAGTGATGATGTGCATAACTATAAATGCATGATAATGGACAAATAAAGCAATTCATTGGGAGGACACAACCTTAGTGATTTAATCTTATGCGTTTACAATCTTATTTACTTCAATCTTTTGTTTAGTGTACAATAACTCTTCACCTTTTACGAAAAAGAAGTTGACTATAATTTGATATTCGTTCCAATAGTAAAAACTCATTTTCTCTTTGGAATTTGACTCCAACTCTTATTAGATTACTATATTTGCATACGATCACGTTACATCATCAGAGTGTAACTTGAGCATATCAATCTACGCTGTACACCACATACCTCGGAAGTCAGGAGGGCTTTAAACAAAACAAGTTTGATCTCTATTTTTTTTTTTTAGCTTTAGCAGTCCTGTTAGACGTAACCGCATAGAGAAGATACTGTATATGCCTTTTAAATATCACTTGATAACAAATGAGCAATTGAATGATCACTAGTAACAAGCTAACATAAATTGACGATAATTTTTTTATTTCTGTTCCAGTTCCACTGTAAGACTAGTTTGTGATTCATGAGCCAACTTTACATGCACATGCACATCTATGACAGGGATAACTTTGATGTTCAATGTAATAGTCGCATTCGGCTACCTTTGAGAAGCAGGTACCAATTACCAACTACTACAAAGAACCAATGATTCCTCTATTCATGATGCGCGTGAGCCAGGATCTCCAGCCTAATGTTTTCTAGTTAGAATGATCCAGTGATGTGCCAACCTGCCAGAGCTTCTGAGCTCACCCCCAAACGATACCCCAGAAGTCAGGGTTATAATATTGTGAATAATGGAAGTACGTACATTAATCATTTAACAGAGACAAGTATCAAGGCAGTTGGATGTTTCCTACAGCCTCAATATTCTGTGTTCACTACAATACTGCAGATTTATTTTAAACAAGTCTGTGAGAAACCCAGTCATTGTTTAGGGGGCTCATCAAGATGTCGCGAAACATCAACTAATATTCACCTACTCATTTCAAGTGAAAATAAAAAAAATCACCCTAATAAATATTTAAGTTACAATAACCTGTAGCATAACAACATATCATGTACACAAACATGGCAGATCCAAATACAAGCATAATCATAGTTTCTTGAGCTTCTTCTGTCAACTACATGAAAAATTTACAAGCACCTTTGTGTGACTTTAGCCCTTGGTCAGCAGCTATTTCCTGCCCTAGTAGATGTAACTGCTGCATAAAACTATTTTCCTGTGAAACATACATGAAGGTTAGCAAATGGAACGTCTTTCTAGAAACTAAGCAATAAGGCTCAAGTGTATAGCAACATCTGACATCATTCAACAATACAAACACATCTGACGACTTTCAATCACTAGGTAAAGAGGAAGATTTCTTACCAATCTTAAAAGCAAAGGGGGAAAAAAAAATCAAAGCAAATAGAAAAACAGCTCAGTATGTGACAATTGTGCATGAACGAGGGATAAGGAGAGAGAGTCCTATGTTAAAGTAGTGCAAACATTTACATTACTATTTCCAAGTCAGAGCTCATAAATCTTGCGCCTCTTAGAATTTCACACTCCAATCCTAACAATTGATATGCCCAACAATGAAAAATGAACATGAATCTTTTTCCACACCATATGACATTTTGGTATCAGGAATTCTGGAAAAGTAAAATCATAAGCTCTGCTCCACAGGGATAATAACTATATTTTCAAGGAACCCTAGCTTATCCTAAAGATCCTCTGAGTATAAAATATAAGAGTACATCATACAAGTCCATGAAACAAAGTAATGCGGCTCACGACCTTCAACGTAACTGTACCGCTTCTTCCTTTCTCAGTCTTACACATTCACAGGAAGAAAGAGGAAAAGTAATTAAAACAAACATCATAGAAAAGAATGACAACTTGCCACTCTGGCCCAATGATAAGAAAGTGAAAACTATAGAAAAACGCAAAAGCTAGCAATTGGATTCTACAAACAAACAGATCCCTGTAGATTTTCTTGTTATTAATTTGCCCTTACAATTATCCTGCTCACAACTAATCACAGCAATCTTTTGATTATAGTTCCTAAACTGTGTAAGGTATGGGGATGGGGAAGCTTTAGCCAGAAAAGATACAGACCACTCTAGTTCAGACAAGCCAATGCTCAGATTTAGCTATAACATCTTGACGACGTTGTGATGAAGGCATAGTCAAGCATCTAAGAAAGAAGTAAACGGTACAGTTATAGTTCCTTTTTCTCAAATGTTTTTAACTTTACAGTAAGCTCCAGATTTTGAAGATCGAGTGAGTGCCAGAATGTAAACCACAACTTAACTTCAAAAAGGATTCCTAATAGACCATGTACAGCTGCTATTTGATCTCCAGTTATCTTAGATATCTCATAGTATTTGCTTGTTACAAATGAGAACCCCTGCAATCCTAGCATTTATGTTGCAGTTGAAGCCAAGATAAGTAGCTAGACCCAGGAACTAAAGATGAAAAGTTAATGAGCCAGCAGATACGAAAGATGTCCTAGAGATGCCACAGTTAAGACCTATCAGAAGGTGTTTATATGGTAATCATAAATTGCTTTTATTAACCAAGGCCATAATTAATAGGGCGAAAAGTTAAAGAGAATGAGGTAAACTGTATAGTGCCATAGGAAAAATTTAGGCCAATTTCCAAAGAGAGGTAGTATTTAGGATGATGACTCGCCAAATAAAATGTTGAGCACCGAAAAGTAGTGACAAATCACTAAAATGGTCACTATATTTGACAACTATTTTCAGTTGAACTCGATTTAGTAGGATTTAGCAACTTAAGAAAGTGCCAACATTTTGGTAAAAAAGAAACTGACCGAGTCACCGAGATAAACCACATCTGGCGAGCTTCAAAATTGAAGCGTCAAATAAATATTCAAACTAGAATAAAATTGAAGTGTCAAATATACAATTTGCTTCCTATGAGAGAAATATCACAAAAATTTCTACTACTTGCTTACAAGTAATAATCCATGTCGCGTATAAAGGTTGAGGAGGTTTCAGGGTGCTATTCTTAGGAGGCATAGGGCAGTGACAGACCTAGGATTTTTACCACGTGGGTTCAACATATGAAGGAGATTTTTTTAAAAAAAACAATAAACTAAATTTTATTAATTAAAAATCAATTAATATATAATTATTATTTAATTAAAATTTTATTTTTTATTAAATAAATAATTTAAATATATGCTTTAATCAGAATAATGAGGAAAAGCACAAGAAAAAGGGTTCAGCCAAAAAGCAACGAGGGATTTGAAAATTGAGAACTATTTTTAGTTTTTTTTTTTTAAAGAAAGAACTTAAATAGTGTAGTTATTTTTCTTTTTAGAGATTAATATATTGGAAAAACTTTCCTAAATTATCTTATATGCGTTGGAAAAGAGTAAAACAAATGTATTCTGTTGTTGGTTGGTGTTGGAAAAGAGTAGAACAAAACGTATTGTGCTGTTGGCTGGTTTCGAACTCACAATCTCCTTCCAAAAATGAAACCACTTTACCGCTGGACCAAAGGCTTGCTTTTGTTTAAGTGGGGTCAATATTATATCTATACATGTATTGTCCAGAAGACAAATCAAATATACCTATATATACAGTAAACAATTTTACGAAGTGGGTTCATATGAACCCTCTTGACACTATGTAGGTTCGCCCCTGGCATAGGGGTAGAGTGATCGGGCGAGACGAGATCCCAGTTGAATTTTGGAAGGGCTCAGATAGGGCAGGTGTGGAGTGCTTGATAGAGTTGTTTAATGTCGCTTTCAAGACGCAAAGATGCCTGAAGAATGGAGGTGAGGTATAATGATTTTGTTGTACAAGAACAAGGGTGACATTTAAAATTGCAACAACCAAAGAGTATCAAGCTGCTAAGCCACGATATGAAGGTTTGGGAGAGGGTGGTGGAGATAAGGGGGAGGAGGGGAGTGGCTATTTTTGAAAACCTGTTTGGATTCATGTCAGGGCCTGAATGATTTCAGTCATCATCTCATTAAAAGACTGGTGGAGCAATATAGGGAAGCAAAGGACTTACCGATGGTATTCATCCACCTACAGAAGGCTTACGATACAGTCCCAAGAGAGGTTCTACGGAGTTGATTGGAGGCTATACATGTGGCTTAGACTAGGAAAATAAGGGTATATATGATAAGTCAATACTCATGTAAGGACACTGGGAGGAGACTTTGAGAACTTCCCAATTTTGATGGGGTTGCACCAGGAATCAGCCCTTAGCCTTTTTATTTGCCTTGGTGATGCATGCATTGACACGAAAAATTCAAGGTGAGGTGTCATGGTGTATGTTATTTACGAATAACATAGTTCTGATTGACAAAACTCGTGGCAAAGTTAATGCTAAAAGGACATTGTTCCTATTTACGAAACCTTAGTCAATATATTATGTTAGCCAATATCACCTTCGAAACTCAACATTATACACTTTTTTCTTCATACAAGTTTGAAATTTCTTTAGTGTTATTTTATAAGGTAAGATAACTTTCATAATAGTACCAAGAAGGTATTGCGAACAACAACCAGAGAGATTATAACATTGTTGTTTTTATTATACCGACAAGAATTTCAAAATTAAAAATACTAAGTTTCTATCATACTACTCTTAAACCAAAAAGTATAGATTTTATAGGCATCAATTTTTTTTATAAAAGGGATATGATGTCTTTAATCTTCAAAGCATCTCTATTTATAGTTCAAAAGCTGCAAGAGAAATGGTCTTCAACATTTGCTTCCATCCTCTATTCATTTTTTGACTTGCAGCACTCCAATATACTTCTCACACTTTCCAACCTCATAGGGCACCGCTGCATTGCTGCAGACACATTCCGGTGATGAATTTCCAAGTCCAGCTTATCTTGTCCACCAATGCTTATGACTCAACCCATAATGGCACCTCAAATTTTAGATCATCAACGATAAGCTTCAGTGATCCCAATAATTTGACACCGGTAAATTTCACACTCCTTACTCATCTCATATATGCTCTATTTCTAGTATCTTCATCAATTTTAAGAATCCACTGAATCAACCTCCAATTGTCCAGAAGACATTCTCGCAATAAGCAGGAAAACTAAACAACTTTATCCAGATATGGCAGGGATCATCACTCCAAACACAATTTATATTTTTTTAAGTTCCACCTTGCAGTTTAATTCTTTTCACCCCAACCCTCAATGGAAATCAAACAAGAAATAGTCACTCCTAGTTCTATCTACCCATTGTTGTAGTACAGTGTGACTGGGAGGGATCATAGCTCTACAACCAACAGAACTAATTCAACATCTGCTTAGATATTCCATTTTGCCTTTAATAGAGCGTATGTCAATTAAGAACTGAGTTTTACTCAAGATATTCATTTTCCACAATCTTGATATTGTCTGGGCCATGCCATGATTTGAGCTACTTTTGCAACAAAACTCCTTTTTTTATTCCCAAAATATGTGCATCTGCCATCCAGCATTATTTTCAGTCTCCAAATGATGATCATAGATTGCTTGCCCCTTACACAGCAAGGACTCTGATATACCTTTCAAGAGAAATAAAGTTTTGGATGACTGATGTTGGGTGTATTTATACGTCTTTTGGCCATATTTCACCCACATTTATGCCTCGTTCAGAGAGTAAACACGAAATATTCCCAGCTATTACTCATTCTAGTATTCTAGAACTAATTGAGGTGTAATGTTCATTCGCAGGTGAAAAGCTCAAAAAAATGGCTAAGTGTGGAAAATAAGCAGACCCTTGTGACGCGAGGCTTGGGGTGAGTCTCTCACAGAAATCAAGCTCTCTGAAGTTTTACAACAGCTAGAGGAGGAAAAAGTTAAAGGCTCTTGCAGCGCGAGCCTAGGCAACGTGGCAAAAAATCTGTAAATTCCCACCTATTTTTGGGTGGGGCCTCTTAGTCTTCTCCACATACTATGTAAGAAACCCTTGGAAGTTTTTGAGGGGTGGGGGGTGGGGGATCATATTTGGATATTTGGAGCACAAAACAATCACACCATAGCTTCTTCTATTAGGATTAATTTTCTTCTCTTTAATTTAGCATTATTTCTTTCCTTGAACATGAATTCCCGCAAGTGTAATAGAATTATGAGTGGCTAAATGCTCTAGTTCTAGGGTTATGGACAAAGTATGAACGTTTGTGTTGTAATCTACGTATTATTGCAGTACTATCTCATGAGTTGTTCATTTAACCTTGTGCTTACTATTTTACTGTTTCAATACCAGTAGAATAAACATACATTTTGTACCGGAACTTGAGAGATAGAAGTTAAGATAGAACAAGGGTTAATGGAGTAGATGCATTCTTACGGGAGCGGATTTGCGGCTAGGATAGAAATATACCTAGTTTTGCTCTACTTGCCTCTTATATTGGATATGAAAATGCATTTGTGGAAGCCAACATTCATCACTTAACAATATAGGTATGAGGCTAACACGAAAAGGAGATCAGAGGTTGGGAAACCCATAATCTTATTATCAATCTCGTGAAGCAACAGCTCAGTAGTAATTTGCAGGATAACCTAGACGCAGACACTGGGTGGAACATATAAGCAGCATAACCCTGGAATCTGTCTTTTACTGTGTTATCAGAACATCCAATTCAATCATTGTTAATCTTTATGCTTTAAATCGTAAAACTAGAAGTAATAAAACAGTATTGTGGAAAACACTTGTTCTATACATGTGCGCACTAACCCAAAAAAAAGGTCTCCCCTATCCTTTAAAGACATCAGGCTTTTCGGATTCTTTTTATATAGAAAATATTGTTGGGATTCCAAAAACATCCAGCTGGTCACCTTATTTCTTCGCTGAAGGTGCGATCCCCCATTCCACTAATGCAACTTTTCTATAGTTATATCGCAAGACTGGCTGTCAAAAGTCCCTGTGGGATTTGACCTCTTCAATTGCATTGCAATCATTGTATTACTTGACGACCACGTACACTAATGTGTGCACGGGAACTACAACAATGACATGGTAGGAATATAATTGATTGGTGTTTCTCGTTCTCCATCTCCTACATATCTTGTGTTTCCCCTCAGAAGCCAATTTCATACATTGACAAAGGTCAAGAATGCTTATCAAAAGTTATTATGTTGATAATACTTTTCCACCTCTCAACAGTTTCAAACCAATTATCACTTGGCTGCCTCTAACAACTTGAAACTTTTGCTGCAAGCCAAAAATACCATATTCCACCCTATATTATCGTACCAACCTTGTATCAAACACCTATCTCATCGTCTTATACTAAGCTCCAGTTACTCAGTGATTGGTACTCAACTAACCAAGTAGGCAAAAAGAAGTTGGAAGTTGGTTAGCAGATAAGGGCACGAGTAAACAACTCTAGTCTCTAGGTAAGAGAGAAGGGGTGAAGATTTCAAAAGAGGTTGAGATGAGATTAACGGAGGGTTTAGGAAAAGAGAGAATGAGATTCAGAAAAGAGAAAGATGTTAAGGGATATGAGAATCATCAAAATATCTCCGGCACAATGTCGGAGGAAAGAGGGTAATGAAAGTTGCACGCATCCTAAGAGTTAGAAAAGACCACATTCCGAAAAATGTTTGAGATCTCTATAGTGTTACCCACACCACCACTTGGGGAACTTATTAATAACACTCCAAAAGGTTGAATGATCCATGCCATGCATCAAATTTTTCACCAATTGTGGACTTGTCTCCTACACATATCACACTAGTGGACGTTTGAAAAGGTTCTACTCAAAATCATATTCCTATATATCCATTTTTTTATCATGCTCATTGTAATAACCCAATTATCCTTGAGTATCGTCTTTATCCTCTATTGTTACTTATTCTGAATTCAACTCCCAAAGACAATTCGCATTTATGAAGGCAACATGCTATGATGTAAGAGATATTTGTTTTACGCTATCAAGGAAGAAAAATCTAAAACTCTAACTTGCCTACCAGTCAGCTCACATTTCCTCTATCTGCATCTTCCAAACATATGAATTATGAACTATACACTCTTATAACTGCTGGAGAATGCACAAAGTTCTAGAAAATTAAGGAAAACTATGGAAAGCTAGGACACAATGTGGCAAGGAGCATTCTAAAGTTTAAGACCCAATCACAATCACTAATAGTAAGAAAGTTCGAAATAAACATCACTTACATAGCAGTAATTATAAAGACTTCATAATGTAGCTAATAAAGCAAGAAAGAAGTATGACAAAAAAAGCAGGGAACTATAAGGATCTTGTAACACAACAATTATGTAAATATATACAGCCAACAACCAATAGCTTGCATTATTAACTGCAAACATGATCGGTTATGCACTCATGGAAAACATCTTGAATTGACAATTTTACTCAGAAAATGGACCTTGGGAAACCATAGTAACTGATTATCAGTGATCTCTTAAGGATGGTTCAATGCTATAACTTCAAGTATGATCCAATTGATCGTGTGAAGAACAGGATATTATGCTTTAGGTAAAGTTCACTGCTTTTAAAAACATACAACAAAGTGGTTTGTGAATTACACCAAAAGATCCCCTTCAAGTACTCAATTCAGACAGATCATTTCTACTAGTTCTTCAGAGTCTTAGGAAATCCCAGCTCTCAGACAGCAATAGATTCATTTTTCTGAAGCCAAGAAAAATGCAAACAGGTGCAGTAAATATCTGAAATTTTCACCTGCCGAAGGGGGATGCTTGGCAGCACATTTAGACCTTTCAATCTGTAACTGAGTTTCCATGAACATATTCATCCGTTGTACCTCAAGGTCCTTGGTGAATTCCATCCTCTGCTTCTCCAACTCCATCATCTGCTGCTGCTTTGAGCTCTCAATCCTTTCATATATCTCCCCAAACCTCAAAATTGCCCTTGCTAATTCCTTAAATGCGGTGGTATCCTCGGATAACCCTACGTACTCCATCTTATTCTTCCTCTCTCCACTCCCAAAGGCCAAATCATCGTGTGCGCTGTCATTTGAACCACTTGAATTCAACCTGGATGAACCGCCTGAATAATTCAATGCACCAAAGTTTGAGTCGGGGCTAATTTTTTCCTTAACGGCAAGTGATATCGAGGCAGGCGGTCTTCTATTACAGGGTGAGGCAGAAACATTATTGGAAGCGATGACATAATCAAGACGGTTATAAAACGGCCACTTTGAGGGAGTTGACTTGCTTTTCTCAAGCTTGTACTTCTTCTTCAAAGTATCGATCCGGTTCTTACATTGTACATCCGTGCGCTGAGGCTTAACTCCATTTTGACGTGAATTAACGGAGTAGGCGACTTCCTTCCAGTCCTTCTGCCGGAGATTGCCGCGATTAAGCCTGAGATAGCGATCGCCCCATGCTTCGATTAGGGTTTCAGTAGCACCTTCACTCCAGCAGTCTTCACGTCCTCCAGCGTGAGGCCTAGAGGTGTTCTGAGTAGCAGTTTGGTTCTCCATACAACAGAGAAAATCGGCGACCGACTCCGATTCAGGCGTGATCGGTATTTAAAGTTCGGAAAAGAGAAGGCAGGGTGCTAAGGTGGACCGGAGGTGAAGGGGAGAAACATCGGGGGAATGGGATAAGGAATGGGAAAGGGAAGTTGGCCGTACATCTGACCGGAAGAGGGGGACGTCAGCAGCTGCCTATTGGATGATTGGACAGAGTGGGTTATCCCTACGATTTTGTCTATGATTTCTTCCAATTTACCCCTCACTTTTGCATTTGAACAGTGAATAATTGAGATGGCTTATTTTCAATATCTAAAAATTAAAATCTAAATATGCAAAATTTATTTATTTGTGAATATAGTAAAATCTTACTAAAGTAATATAGGTGGGACTAGGGGTGTTTATGGGATGGTTACTGGTCAAAATCATGACCAAACTAACTTAATCGGTTTTATAATTATCACAATCAAACCAAACCAAACCAAACAAAATATAATATACATTTATCGATTTGATGGTTATCAGTTTTGGTTTGACTTGGTTATTAACCATAAACCAAAGTAAAAAAAAATCATTCAAAAAATGAAAAAAGTGACAACAATTCAAAACGAAAAATAGTTAGAATGACTAAAATTACTAAAACTTTCGATCACTGAATTTACTATGAAAAAAACTTTAAAATTCACTATTTTTGCCTAGAAGGAAGAGACAGTAACGTTTTCAGTCCCACAAAAAATTGTCATAGACACCCATATACGTAAAATCAATAAGGTAAATGTTTTCACCTTGGACATTTTTTCTTTCAGTAAGTAAATTATAAAGAAATTTTGATGAAAACATATATAGGATCTTTAAAATTATTTATAAAAACAATATATTAAGTATGTATATTAAAACATATATGTATATAATTTATCGATTCGGTTCAGTTCAGTTTGGTTCAGTTATTTTTTTGGTTTTTTCGAATAAAACCATAACTAAACTAAATGTTATCGGTTTCCAAAAATCTAAAACCAAACCAAACCAAACCCAAATAAAATCGATTTATTATTGATTTGGTTCAGTTTTATTATACTTCATTTTTTAGCTGTTTCAATCAATTTTCTATGATAACGATTTTATTATACTCTATCATAGAAGGTAAAAACACTATAGAAGGTCAAAAAATTCCACTGGTTAACATAGAAAAAGAAGTTGATCGAAACATCATATTCTTTAAATGTCATTCAATGTTATATAAAGATTAAGTGAACTTATAAGAGAATGTGATGTTGATCTTTAAATAGTCTTCTCTTCGCCGACTAATATACCATTTACTTTTATTCATTCAACTATTAATTCTGCCATCAATTGTTTTATGTATCTTATAGTTGAATCAAGTGTGAGTGCACGACTTATTGCTACCAAAAAACATAACAATACAAACCAAAACTGTAACGATCCGAACCGTTGTTACTTATGAAGGGAAAAACATCGTGAGTAACTGGACCCCACTGTCTCGCCAGAGCGAATGATGCCGCTACGGTGGCGGTGCCCCAATGAGATGGGAGCGCCATAGCGGGATGTTCAGAGGGCATAACTTAATGACGCGAAGTCTTATTTTCTCCTTTTTCCCCAAGTGCCAAAAAGAGGCGAGGGTCACCCCAAAAACCCTCAAAAGGCTGCTCTAGGCTTGGGAATGAAGAAGGAATAGATTTCTAGCTCAAGGTTGACGACAACTCGCCAATTCCCAGCAAAAATCCACCGTCTCGTTGTCTGGAAGCCAGGATTGGAGCTACAATCCCTCTGCAGTTGCTTGGTGCCCAGGTAGGCTAGGTTTAATTACTTGATTAGTCGTAAATTCGTGCTCACTGCATAATATATTGCTAATTGATGGTAGAATTCATGTTTAGGCCTTCGGGCACGGAAAAAGGGACGGTTGTACATGTACTCCTAGTTGTTAAATATGATGTGTACCGTGGGTGGGGGGAAGCCTCGTCATGTGAACTAGGGGTAGGTGATGGTTCGACTTCCCGTTTGTGTTATATATGCTTGTTAATTACTCCATTGTATGCATGCATGTATGGGAATAGAGAAACATGAATCGAACCTAATGAAACGACTAAGTATGGACAATTACATGCCATGAACCAGTTACTTGACTGTGTGACTATGTGAACTTTTCATTATGGGTGTGATTGAGGCTGTGATTGTGCTGACTGGATCGGGTGTCACGTTCCGACACATATATTGGATCGGGTGTCACGTTTTGACACATGTATTGGACCGGGTGTCAGGTTCCGACACACATATATTGGACCAGGTCACGTTCCAACACATATTGGATCGGTTGTCACATTTCGACACACTAACAGTTTGGGTGTAGTTCCACGAGAGGACAATTTGTGACTACTACATTCATATCTACATGTCATTGATATTGGGAAATTGTATATTGATCCTAAAATGATGATTGATTATGTATCTCGGTATATGAGCTTTTATTGTGTTGTGGTTACCTGCTTATATCTCGTTTACTAGAATTAATTGTGAATGATCATGCCTAATTTGTATGTTGTCTGGTAAGTGGAGACCGAGGGTCCAGGTGTTACTATCGGCTATTTTTAGAGAGACTGTCTATGTTCTTAAACAATGATAAGTGGGGTAGCTTTCATGATTCAAAAAGTAGTTAGGTCCTACGTTGGGAAGGGGATTCATATTCGAAATGGTTAGCGAGCCTTGATAGAGTATACTATGTGGTCAAGGGCTGAATTGTGATGTTGAAGAAGCGAGGGCATGTCGTGAGTGGTTGGTCGGGTTGGTAGTGGTTGTATTCGGGAACTCCTATCTGAGATAAAAGGGTTAAGCTATGATCAAGAACACAGCGAGCACGGTGATAGAGTAGGGGGTTAGAGTCAAGTGTACTAGTACGTTTAAAGTATACGGGAATGGTAAAGACATGAGGATAGATGTTGAGAGGTGTACTTTCTTATTGCATGTTTCCTGTTGATTGATTTCTTTATATTATGCGATGGACATCGGGTTGACCGATGATTCCTATCAGTAGGTGTTGTTTGTACTGATACTGCTCTTGCTATGCCATGTGGCATAGTCTAGTTATAGGGTCAGTGATGTTTCATAGGTGAAGACGAAGATAATCTCCAATAACTTTTAGTCTTCCTTCCCTGTGGTGAGAGCTGTGTGCTACACTCAAATTACACCTTTTTTCAGAAGCATAAGCGATCGTTATCACGTAAAGAACCCAACTTGTAGGTTGGGGTCGATCCCACGAGGAATATGGTTTAGACTTAAGTTCAATAACGATTATATTCATTTAGCCAATGTATTTCCGAGACAAATAAGTAAAAAAAGGAAGAGGGGGGGGGTTTGTGTAACAAATTTTGGAAATTATTAAAGTAATTAGTAAGCAAGATTCAAACTTTTGTTGTTATCTAATTGAGAAGGAAACTAGGGAGTATGTGTTCCCCATAAGCTCATAACTCCGTAATCCTAGTAATAGCAATCCCTTCCTAGTGTATTACATGCAAAACGATAAGTTATGTATCTCTAAATCCTTGGTCCGGCATCTAGAGAATTTCACCCTGCACCTTGGTCCGACTACGTGTGTATAATTTACTAACCCTTACCATTACCTCCTATTAGACGTCACATCGATGTATGACTTAGTTTTTCACCCTCGCACCAATCGACATTAATTCTATTAGATAGTATCACACTAAATTTATGTTGATAATTCTTTTCTTATTAACTACCTCCTTGGTCTGGCAAGTAGCAACAATGCGAGTTCTAATGTTTCACACCGTTAAAAAGACTTCTAGATGAAAGAATTATCAATGCATGCAAAACACTATTCAAGAATTACTTAGTTACTATTCATACTTCGTTAATCGCTCATGGTTCCCACAACCCTAGTTGTGGATTTAGTTACCCATGTTAGCAAGAAAACAATTCATAATGTTTAAAGAATAAATCATGAACTTACGTAGTATAGTAGAATAATCCCAGAATTTCAACTTGAATTTCAAAGTAAAAATCACCAAAACTTGCTTAGGAAATTAAGAATTGCTAAAGTTGCAAGTTAATCTCCAAAGCCAAAAACTAGAATAAAAGTAATAAAGTCTAACCTCCGAAAATGAGGTTTACATGTCATATATATAGAAAAATAAGTCCTAACTAAAAAGGAAACAAAATAAGGAAATAATGTTTCAGGATGCGGTTTCAATCGACGATACTGACCTACGGACCGTGGATTGATCTACGGTCCGTAGGTCCCTTCCGTGACTCAGGACTTGGGCAAATTTCTAACTTCAAAATCTTCAAATCTCTAAACCAAATGACGGAGCACCAGTACGGACCGTGGATTGATCTATGGTCCGTGGATCCTCCTCCGTAGCTCCATACTTAGAATCTTCAAAATCAGGTACATGAATCCCTCTCTGAATCATTTGACGGATCAACAGTACGGTCTGTAGATCAATCTACGGTCCGTTGATTGCAACCGTGGTTCCACACTTGGTCAAGAATTCCCTGATTTTCCTTCAAGGCTTTCCTGCCTATCTACGACACCCATCTACGGAGCGTGAATGGACCTATGGTCCGTGGATCACCTTCGTAGATGCCGTTTTCTGCACATCCTTTAGTTGCGTCTCTCAGTTTCCACGTCTGAACATATTTCCTGCAAACATGAGGAAAATACATAAAAACTAATACAAAATGGCCCTAGACACACACAACTCTTAAGTGAAATGTATTAAAAATACTGTAAACTCACGGTATATCACCGTGTCATTAGTTACTGTATTTTATACCCTGTAATCTTAGAAGCTCTTGTACCTGTTTAGACTAGGTCCCTTGAGGAGTTATTTATTTTACAAATTTAACTTTGGATTATTTAAACTCTTTATTATGTAAAAATCTCATGAATTTCCTTTTATGTCTAGTTTTCTTAATCTTTCGCATGTTTTTAACCGTTTGGGTATCAAGAGTCCTCCTACTTAAGTTTTAGAGTAGGTGCCCACATGATCCGGTGGGTTGGGTCGTGACAAATTGGTATCAGAGCCCAGGTTGCCGGTCTCCCAGTACAAGAGAAAATGTGGAATAGACTCCTGCGGATTGGTGTGTTGACATCCACATCTAATTTTTAAGAAGCTATGAAGCATTCTAGGAAATGGTTTCATTTCTTCTCTCCTTCCGTGCGGGTTGTTGCTTGTGGTATGGGTTGAGTTCAATTGGTATCTTAACGAAGTGAACTGGATGTCGTAGTCG